TCTCTCTCTCTCTCTCTCTCTCTCTCTCTCTCTCTCTCTCTCTCTCTCTCTCTCTCTCTCTCTCTCTCTCTCTCTCTCTCTCTCTCTCTCTCTCTCTCTCTCTCTCTCTCTCTCTCTCTCACGTGTTCATGATGTCATATTTTCGCGTGCTGGATAATGTTTGTTGTTTTAGTTAGTTAGTTAGTTTGTTTGTTTGTTTGTTGTTGTGTGTTTTCATGTTTTTCCATGCAGGCTTGTTGGCTTCAGTTGGATGTTGGATGTTTGCTAATCTAATGCGAAAGTTGGGCGGGGGTGGAGGTCTTCAAAGACGTTTAGATGTGCTTCGCAGGTCCAAACCCCTGAAACGACGGAGAACGGCGCAGGCGCTGCGTGGTGCGACGCTCGTCTGTGCGAAATGAGATCCCCAACCACACGGTAATGCGAGAGGTCTTCAAAGACGTTTAAAATGTCGGGTTCGTTAAAGGTAGAAGTTAAGTTCATACGCATAAAGCAAAACACTCCCCCGGGCGACGTATACCACTCGAGATGTGTCCGTTTGTCACGAACCGCGAGATCTTAGCCGGGCCACAATTAAAAAAATCTTTGTTTGCCCTCACACGACCCAAGCTGAAAAGTTTGGGTAGGTAGGTAGGCTCTTTTTTTTACAAATTCAGCATGGTGTCTACACGCTCGGGTGTGCTCGTGTGGAGATACCTTTTATGTTGAATGTTTGTTTTGCTTGGTACATATAATGTATTGCCTACAGATTTATATAATGTACATTGATACAATTTGTGGGAAAAAAAAGAATGGGAAAGATCAATAAAAATGTTTTGAGTCGGCCCCTTTTTGGCGGGTCAGTCGGGTGAGGACAAACAAACAATATTTTTATTATGGCCGGGGGAGTACTCACTTCACGATCATTCCTGGTCGAAGATCGAAGTTCTTGTTGACGATCTTGATGAGTTCTTTCTCGGGAAGGTCCGACGTTCCGAACGTAAAGATGCTCATGGACACGGGCCGGGCGATGCCGATCGCGTACGAGATCTACGAAAACATAACAACACATGTCAACAACAACAATAACAAACAACATCCTCGCACGCTGTCGATTTGTTATAGATTTGTTATAGCACGTTGTTCTCTGTGTTTTCAGGGATTTGGACCTGCGGAAGCCCATCTACCAGAAGACGAGTGCGTACGGACACTTCGGACGTCCGGAGTTCACGTGGGAGGTACCAAAGAAGCTGCAGTTCTAGTGGCGCGACCTTCCGTCGATATCTGCCGTCGTCACCGCCTGGTGGCAGCACCTGTCGAGCGGCGGTCGTGCGTTGCGTTTGCGGTTGTTGTATATTTTTTGACGCGCCGGTTTCGTTGGATCGTTCGCTGCTGTGTCGTTAGCCTTGTTACCGTGGCAACGCCGGGAGAGAGAGACGTCCACCGCGGGTGGGGTGGGGGGGGGGTCGTTCGTGTCACGTCCGCTGCGTTCGTCGTACACTGCGCACAGTTCTTACCTTCCGTGAGGAACGAGGATTGGTTTGGCGGCGTTGGCGAGAGGAAATCTCTGGTGTCTGGCGGACGAACCAGCATCTAGTAAACGTATCGGAACGTACCGGGGGAATCGTATCGGAGCCCTGCACTCCTGCGTTAGTGGTCCTGGCGGACGAAACGGCGTCTAGTAAACGTATTGGAACGTACCGGGGGGAATCGTATCGGAGCCCTGCACTCCTGTGTTAGCGGTCCTGGCGGACGAAACGGCGTCTAGTAAACGTATTGGAACGTACGGGGGGGATAGCATCGAAGTCCTGCACTCCTGTAATTAGTGGTCCAATATGGCACGAGGTTTTTTTCGTGGCACCGAAAAGCGTCGTTACGTCCTTGTATGGAGTGATTAGAGTCGGCGCGTAGCTAGGAAAATTAAAGTATTATTTTACACGGCGTTGTAGTACGGCGCGTTTCCCGACATCGCAGAGTACGATCCCGAGTTAAAGGCAAGAGAACTAGTTTACTCAAATTGCTTCAGTGTAGCGTAGGTAGTAGTACACTGGCAATATATCGTAATGGTCACATCTACAATGGGTGGGGGGGGGTGGAGTTAGCTTTTGCCCTTTTTTCTTTTTTTTAAATATTTATTTAGGCAATTATCCATCGTATACAATACATAGCATACTTTTACAATAAAATTTCTGAATTCATAATATTGGATAACTACCAAGGGTATATACACAAAAAGCATGACTAGCACACTTATTTACATTGTGGTCCTTGTTTTGCTATGCCTTGAATCTAACAATTACACTACTAATACTATCAGCACTAACTATTGAAATATACAAATTTGTAGTTTTAACTGGTCATACAATGGTACATTCTCATAAGACGAAGTATAATTTGCAGTATAAGTAAAAGAGTTTTTCCCACTGCTCTTCCCACCCTCGGTTTAAAAATAGACATCTCACCTTCCCTTGTATTGAAACTATGGACTTCTGCCGTTAACATGAAACCTTCATTACTTATTTTTTGTTTTGCACAAAAATAAAGATCTCTACACTCTACAGTTGTAATTCCACATGAATTTTGCGGATGATTTTGCTTTTGAGATGTTATTGGGCGGATGTATGTGTCTAGATTGGTCGCGCGCGCTCACTGTTGTTGTTGTTGTTGTGTGCTCTCTGGCACGGGATATTCTCGGTGTGATCAATAAATCCTTTTAATTATTAATTTATGACCGTGTTGCTATTCGTATTTGCATATTCTTTGTTGTTTTTATCAAGGCTGATGAGTACGGTTATGAACATACAATAACGACAAACATAGAATGCTAGAATTACACAAAAGTTTTCTATGCATAATAATATAGAGTCGCAAATATTTACTCATTTTACAATTTATTATTATTAGTAGTATATTTTGATTGCTAATTGCATTTGCTCATAAACGTATCTATAGTATACGTACTGACGTAGACTGTATATATGTTCATAACAGTAAATTTGTTGTAGAATTAATATTGTTAAACAACATTAAAATGACAAAATTATAACCAAAAATTCTATAATTTTGTTTGTGCACAGTGGTGTGCATGTTGTGTACTTGTGTGTTGCAGAGGAGCATTTGAATGGCATTTATAGATAATTATCGGTAATATATAGTAGAGAAACATTAAGACTAAATACATTTCGTGTTTATTTACAATCATTTTATTATTTAAACGTTAAAAGTGCATGTGATTTAGATATTTCTATTATAAAAAAAGTAAGGGTAAGCATTTTATTTCTAAAAACAGACACTAGGCGGCAGCACTATAAAAAAGATGTCGCTCCACAGTAAACATTGCTGACTACAAGTACAACTAGAATAAGTGCAAGTCAGCTGGAAATGTATAATTAATTAGTCACGGGTCACTGGCAGTTCTGCTGTCACTCATATTATCAATCTGTTGCATATTTCGATGTTAGTATGGCGTCGTATTTTGATGAACATGACTGTGAGCCTCTCGGACCGGGAGAGCAACCAAATCATTTCCTACACCTAGCCAGGTATGCAGCAGTAACTCTATACTAATTTACTATACTCTATAGCTCTAGTAGCCACAAGTTTCCTTCTCGCTTAACACTACGTGGCGAGAGGTGTAACAGTCGGAGTACCCTCCGCACTGTCGGACAGTCGTAACCACAACCTCCGCCGTGTAACAGTCGGAGAGCCTGGTCGGTTTATATTCTAGTAGTAGTAACGCTGAGAGGGTCTATGTCCCTCGGGGTACTGCCGGAACGTACCCTGGGTACGGTCCGGTATACTAGAACGTACCCTGGTACTATCTAATATGCCGGACCGTACCTCGCCTACTCCACTAACGAGTCTGGGGAGTCGCCTACGCCTACTCCCTAACCCTAACTCTAACTCTAACCCTAACCCTAACCATATCAAATAGTGACCAGGGTACGTTCCGGTATACCGGATCGTACCCAGGGTACGTTCTGGCAGTACCCTGGGGGACATAGACCCTATGAGCTCTAGTAACTATAGCCCGCGTACAGTTGCCGCTGGTGGCAGTTACAGCGGCAACTGTACGCGGGCTATGGTTACTAGAGCTAGCAACTCTATAGCTCTAGTACTGCTCATAGGGTCTATGTCTCCCAGCATACCCTGGGCCTTAGATACAATAATGTAACCCAAACACAGGATAAGGTTACAACGCGTCCCTATCCTTTTGTGTGGAGGAACCCCTGAGTGAATCACTCGGGGCGGTTTGCTGGTGCGTTTTCAGAGACTAGAACTTCCAAACTGTGTTTATTCTAAACACGAACCTTTCTCCGCTATCCTGGAACTTACTACGTATCACAATACTCTGTATTAAACTAATATAACGTGTTACAAAAATTTGAAGCGACGAGCGGCGATTCTTCCAGCGCCATTTCTGTTGACCTGTGACGTACGCATTCCCAATGCGCATATCGTTCGGCTAACTTTGTCATGACGTCACGACTGACAGCAATAATACATTCGATCTTGGAGTCGAAGTTAGCCGAACACTATGCGCATTGGGAATGCGTACGTCACAGGTCAACAGAAATGGCGCTCAATATATCTGCCACTCGTCACTTCGAATTTTTGTAACAGGTTATATTAGTTTAATACAGAGTATTGTGATACATAGTAAGTTCCAGGATAGTGGAGAAAGGTTCGTGTTTAGAATAAACCCAGTTTGAAAGTTCTAGTCTCTGAAAACGCACCAGCAAACCGCACTGAGTGATTCACTCAGGGGTTCCTCCACACAAAAGGATAGGGACGCATTGTAACCCTATCCTGTGTTTGGGTTACATTATCGTATCTACCTGGGCTTGGGTACGGTCCGGTATACCGGAACGTATCTTGGTAACTATCTGATATGGTTAGGAAGTAGGCGTAGGCGACTCCCTAGACTCGTTAGTGGAGTAGGCGAGGTACGGTCCGGCATATTAGATAGTACCAGGGTACGTTCCGATATACCGGACCGTACCCAGGGTACATTCCGGCAGTACCCTGGGGGACATAGACCCTCTCAGCTCTAGTATTGAGTTTAATAGTAAATAATACTACAGACTACAGTGACTCTGAGGGAGCTGTCTAAAAGTACCATTACATCAGACCTCTAACCCTAATCTATGCGATTATCCGCACTCTGTAACACCTAATATTAATATGTCTCGGCTGCTGGTGGTGATGATGACTTTGCACAAAATTGAGCTGTGGAACGTTCTTTTTGAGATAATGAATTTTTCGCTTCTGTTGATGTCGTTACTAGATTGTTGCTGGACTCGGGTGTTGCCGCACTGGAGGGACAAATGTTTGGGGAGAAAAAGGCGCCGCCTGCTTCGAAGGAGGCAGTGGAACAGCTCCCTACGTACAGCCTATCAGGGACGGATCTAGGTGAGTGGAGCAAACACATAGTGTGCACAATCCTAGTTTGGCTGAAGGGGTCGTTGTCGTATATGTAGTCCCCGAGGTGTCGGCGAGTAATTCGCCTACTCCCTAACCCTAACCCTAACACCCTAACCCTAACCATATCAGATAGTTACCTCGGGTACATATTATACGCCATTATACGACAACGACCCTTCGTGCCTTAGTTTGGGCCCCCGGCCCTTATTTTTGCAAGTGTGCTAAGCTAGGATAGGGCCTATTACAGGCTCCTTTGATACAAGATCTACAGCTACATAGCCTTTCTGTATATCAACAGTCTGTCTGTCTGGAGGTCCAGCAACATGGAAAGGTGGAGAAGCTAGAAGAGGGGAGAAGGTTGACAGTGTGAAAGGCATCAAAGGAGGGGATCAAGAAGATAGATGGATTGAGAAGATAGAGGAAGTGAGAAGATAGAGTGTTGGGAGAAGTTAGAAGGTCAGAAGTGGAGGCAGGAAGAGAAGGGATTGACAGGGTAGAGAAGGGAAGAAGGCGCAGGAAGTAGAGGAACAGAAGAATATCAAGGAATTTATAATATAAGAGGAGGTGGAGAAAGTAGAGGCGGTAGAGGAAGGGGAAGTATCGCATGGCAGTTAGCACTCAGTGTGGGGATCCTGTCAACAATTTCTCCCTAAGCATGTAGGATCCTGTCAACAATTTCTCCCTAAGCATGTAGGATCCTGTCAACAATTTCTCCCTAAGCATGTAGGATCCTGTCAACAATTTTTCCCTAAGCATGTATGTGCCACAGTTTTCTTTCCAGCTGATTCAAATATTGTTTCAAAAAGAGCATTTGATCTATTCTTATGTGCATCTTTAATAAAAATTATTTATATGCGAGCTGTGTTGAACCATACACGGTCCTCTTTTCAAGTACTACACATCATTTTCAGGTCACACTGTATATATATTTATCAATTTATTGATCTATATAATATGTAATTGATTATTGATCTATATATGTCATTGTCTATTCATCTATATATGTAATTGATTATTGATCTATATATGTAATAGATTATTGATCTATATGTCATTGATCATTAATCTATATATGTAATAGATTATTGATCTATATGTCATTGATCATTAATCTATATATGTCATTGATTATTGATCTATTGATTTCCGTTGCAGGAAAACCGTGTCCGGTCTGTCTCTTGGAATTCGCTCCGGATGACATGTTGAAAGCGATGCCTTGCAAACACAGGTACCTACTAGCCGTAGGTCGTGAATCTCTGTACAGCATGTCGAAACGTAGTAGCGCGATCTAACGACTCGCGTAATATTGCACACGTCGTCTGTTAAAGCCCCGGACACACTAGGCGATGTTTTCTGACGACTAGTTGCGCGACTTTATCGCCCGAAAATTCTAGTGAGACTCGATCGCGCGAGTCGAGTGGAAACATTACGCGATTTTTGACGGCGAGTTCCTACCGCCACCTACCGCGCACTAACGCCACCACGTAAACGAACAAAATGGCAGCGTCCAGTAAAAAGAAAAAAAAATCAGAAAAAATTTAAAATTGCGATTGCAATGGCAGTTTATGTCACTATAAGAAGAATGAGGAGGCAAAGAAATGGTGGGAGAACCGAGGTAGCGAAGCGACTTGTATTTTTGTACCAGTGCTTAATTTAGGCCTACAGTACGCGTGTATTGTTTATCAATTTTCCCCGGTCAATTACCGGTGACGCCGAGCTTCGCCGCCATCGAAACCTTCACGGCCTCCTTCTTCGTTCTGTCCCTGTACTCAGACAGGGACACATCGTATAAGAGGGGATTCGCCTCCCACAAAGTGATCAATTCTGCCACTTTGTCGGAGGACGAGGACCACGTTGACTCTATGGAAGCTGCCATTTTGTCTAATTACGTCAGTATCATTGAACAACACTGATTGACTAGTGAATTTTTCAGTCGGGTTAAAGTGATCGACGAAGTGGACACACTAGGCGACTGAAGTGCGATTGATTAAAAAGTCGCGCGATAATATCAAAACGTTCTGATCGATGCGATCGAATCGGGCGACTAAGTCGCCGCTGTAAATCGTCGGTCGCGGTGATGGACACACTAGGCGATTTTGCCAAGCGACTTTACTCGCCCGATTAGATCGCATTAAAAATCGCCTAGTGTCTCCGGGGCTTAAGGTTTACCCACGCGTGACCGCGGTACGAATTCGGAAAGGTTTTTCGGTAATTTTGAGTGCGAGTTTAAGTATCGTGCCGGATTACCGAGTCTTGTTGAGACGGAAAGCTCACACAGTCTGTGCCTCCCTAGTGGACACACTAGCCGATGTGGACACACTAGTAGTGGACACACTAGCCGATTTTTCATGCGATTGAGCCGCCCGGCTGAGTGGACTAACTCTAGTGAACACACTAGGCGAATTTCAGAGCGATTCATCGGAGAGTTGACCTAGATTGATAGTCACATGATTGAAAATGGCACCGTTTGATTGGCTGATGAATCGTACATTCGGGCGCGCGTAGTAGAGCATTGTATACTCGCATTGTATAGTATCTCATTGTTCGGGCGCGCATTGTATATAGTCGCGCGACTCAAATAATCGCCCGATTTTATCAAACATGTTCGATTCGGGCAACTCGAAAATCGACTGTGACTCACTGGACTCACTAGGCGATTTTAGCCGACTCAGCCGGGGGGCTCAATCGCATGAAAAATCGGCTAGTGTGTCCACAGCTTTACACGGAAGTAGATTTAGGAGTCGTGGATGAAGAATTCAGATTCGCGGAAGAAGAATTAGAAGGAGGAGTCGGTTGTGTGAAGCTTTACGGAAGAAGAATCTGAATTCTTCATCCACGACTCCTAAATCCTTCATACAACTGACTCCTCCTTCTAATTCTTCTTCCGCGGGGGGGGAATGTGGCAGGCGCTGGTACTGCTGCAGTGTTGTGAAAGCGCAGTTCCATATTGCGACATGGAGACGTAGATTGCAGTTTTCTTTTCCTTGCTAACTATGCTTCCTATCAAGCTGCTGTCTCGGCTGCTGTCTCAGATGCTGTCTCAGCTGCTGTCTCAGCTGCTGTGAACCGTTCGTGTGCGTGATTGCCTCCTTTATTATTTTTATTGCCGCATTTATTTCCCTTGCAATCTATGTCTCTGTGTCACTCTGTGTGTGTGCGTGTGCGTGTGCGTGGGTGCGTGCGCGCGTGCGTGCGTGTGTGTGTGTGTGCGCGCGTGTGTGTGTTTACTAGTTGAGCATGTGTTTGTGTGTGTTTACTAGTTGAGCATGTGTTTGTGTGTGTTTACTAGTTGAGCAGGTGTTTGTGTGTGTTTACTAGTTGAGCATGTGTTTGTGTGTGTTTACTAGTTGAGCATGTGTTTGTGTGTGTTTACTAGGTTCCACGCCTCCTGCATACTGCCCTGGCTGCAGCAGACGAACTCCTGCCCCGTGTGTCGACACGAGCTACCGACCGACGACACCGACTACGAGGAGTTCAAACGACAGAAGGTGAGCGAGACGAGACGAGGAGTTAGGATTAGGGTCAGGGTTAGGGTTAGGGTTAGGGTTAGGGTTAGGGTTAGGGTTAGGGTTAGGGTTAGGGGTGAGGTTAGTGTTAGGGTTAGTTTTAGGGTCAGGGTTAGTATTAGGGTTAGGAGTAGTATTAGGGTTAGGGTTAGGATTAGGACTAGGGTTATGGTTAGGGGTGAGGTTAGTGTTAGGGCTAGTCTTAGGGTTGGGGTTAGTATTAGGGTTAGGAGTAGTATTAGGGTTAGGGTTTGGGTTAGGATTAGGGTTGGGGTTAGGGGTATGGTTAGGGTTAGGGTTGGAATTGGGGTTAGTGTTAGGGTCAGGATTGTGGTCAGGATTGGAGTTGTGGTTGGGGGTTAGAGTTGGGGTTGAAGTTGGGGTTGTGAGAGATGCAGGTACGCGTGTTGCCTGTGTGGCGGCTTTATTCGTCTCATGCTGTCGTGTTTTTTTCTATAAGGGGCGAGCGAAGGACCGTGAAGCAAGGATAGAGCAGCTGCATGATAGCATGTTCGGATGAGTCGCACACTGATGCATCCAGCATACACTAAAGCCCGGCGCACACGTGAGTTATTTTACTCAAGTAAAATGACGCACGAGTCAAATTACTCAACGAAAATCCGCCGCACACGTGAGTAAAATGACGCATGAGTCAAATTACTCAACGAAAATCCGCCGCACACGTGAGTGAAATGACTCATGCGTTATTTTACTTGAGTAAAATAACTCACGTGTGCGCCGGGCTTAACGACACAGCATCCAGCATCCTCTAATGAAACAACATCCAGCATCCACTGATTGGCTCAGCATCCACGGATTGGCTCAGCATCCAGCATCCACTGATTGGCTCAGCATCCAGCATCCACGGATTGGCTCAGCATCCAGCATCCACGGATTGGCTCAGCATCCAGCATCCATGGATTGGCTCAGCATCCATGGCTTCCAGGAACGAGGAGAATGACAGCGTGTGCACTTGTGTGCGTGTCGTTGCGTGTATGTACGTGTGCCTGCATGCGTGCGTACGTGTGCGTGCACTTGTTACAGTGGAAGCAGAAGTAACACTACCACTTGATATCCTGTTTTATGCGGCTGGGAATTTAGTCTCGTGAGTTTTAAAAGGATTAAAATTAATGACCCTAGGGTTCCCATCATATTTTCAGTTAAAATAGGTTTATCAGCATCGTGGTTTAAGCAGTGTTAGCCATGCATATGTAGCATGCTGGCCTTGCCTTTATTTCTAGGGAATATGTCTACATATTGTATATATATTTTTCTACACTTCATATTCGTTCGCGAACGCACAAACGGTGATTAAGCGAGAGCGTACAATCTTTTTTTCGATTCCGAGCGTAAAACGTCGCCGCGGTTAGATCGAAAAGCCGCAGCAGGAAAAGAAAACGCGCGCCGACCGTTTCGCCGCAGCGATGTAAAAATATTGATTTTTCCCCTCGTCTCTCGCGCGTAGTTTCCGAAAGTAAAGCGGCAGAGCGACGGCGACCGAGACGCGAAATTCGATTACGCGCGATTGCTTGCCCGACGTTGCATTCGTAAAACTCGTACGGTAAACATTTCGCTTTGAGCGACGGCTATCATCGATCGTTCTATTGTTGGTGCCTCGCCGCAGCGCGGTTCAATGTCGCGGTCGATGACACAGAATGGAGATTGACAGAATGGAGTTGTTGAGACATCTGTCAACTACTGTATACGCCATATTTTTCGCGTACAGATATTTTCGCGAATTCAGACTTGACGGACAATTTCGCGAGCAGTTAATTTTGCGAGCGGTTAATTTCGCGGTTGGTGAATTATGAATTGTTCGCGTTGTTATTTTCGCGGTCGCGTTCGCGAAATTCGCGAAAATTAAACCACTACGAAATATACAGCGTATACAGTAATCAAGTATTCGTGGCTTGAACAGCAAAAACGAAGCTAGAATGACGAATCGCTATATTATGCAAAGCAAGTTAAGAAAGACTTGTTTCAGACACTTCATGTATAATATATAATTTATTGGCAATTTTTGTTTTGGAATTTTTCTTCCGTGCAAAGTAAGTTAAGAAAGACTGTCTTTTTTATCCAAGATGTTTAATGTATAATATATATTATATAATATTGCTATCTTTTGGAATTTTTTCTTCTGAATACATGTTTAAAAATATCCTTCTTACAAGATATAATAATAAGATAACACCTGTGATACCGGCGCGTGATATATAATGAATATCACCATCCGGCCGTTAGATAACTCTTATTTAACGAACACAAACAAAACTAATAAAAAAAAAAGAAACAATTTTCCGACGTCCGTCTTGGCGCGACGACGGCGCATGTCCGCCCCTCGCCGACGCCACCTGCATTTCGACAGTGGCGCCACCTGCTCTCGACGGTGGCGCCACCTACGGTCGACGACGGTGGCGCCACCTAGGGGCGCCAGCGCTCGAACTGCGCGAGCTCGTAGATCATGTCGCAGAAGGCGATGTAGTTGCTGTCGACCTTGCCGCCGACCTTGACCTCGAATTTCTCGAAGATGAGCAGGAACTCCCGCTCGCTGACGAGCGCCCCAAGGTCGAGTTCGCTGAGCACTCGGCGGAACTGCGATCGCGACACGGTGCCGTTGTGCACGCAGTCGTAATCCTCGAACAACGGGAACAGCTGCATGCGCCGCTTGCGCACCTATAAACAAGGGAACAGTGGGAAATGCGATCGT